TTTTTTTTTTTGGAAGAAAAATTGATTTGTGATTCATGAATAAAGCAATGGAGCAAAATTTTGTGGATTTACGTTCTGCAATAAGTTTGATCAAAGAGGAAGCTACATTTTGAACATGCTCGGGTGGATCTTGCTCTCTCTGTTGATTTGGAAGGAGGAAGCTACATTTTGACATGCTCGGTGGTTGACGTTGCTCTCCCCGTTGATTTGGAAGCTTTAATTATCAAGGAGGAGACTGAAGCCTCTGGAATGGCATTGAATATGATGATCTTAATAAAATTCATCAGAAAGAGAAGCAAATGGAATCTGCTGAGCCTGAATTTAGGAGAAACACTTCATAATTTAGGTTCTGCTGAGGCAACCTAAAACATATAGCCTATTGAACCAAAAATGTAATTGTAGAGTAGTAATATTTTGAGATTTTTCAAATCCATTTTTAGTGGTGAAACCTAACTTAGCCAATGATTTTTACTTTAAATGAATACAACATGTTTGCATTTGTTTCATTGAAGATACTCTTGGGTATATTTTGTCTTGTAATTTAATTGTATATTCTATATGGGTATTAATTTGTAATCACTCATTTTCTTTTTGGCTAACACCGATCTAGCTATAAGAAAACTAGGCTTAGGTAACAATATTAGTGACTGTCAAATTTTTGTCACTAAAATTTTCCATTGATCACCAAATTTTGGTCTTCCATACTTACTTAGCGAAAGAAGATTGTTAAGGGGGCTTGCTAATCTTTCTCTAGCATAAAACTCAGATGCCATAAAAATATTTGATACTTCAATATGTAGTTTACTTTTACATTTTTTGTTTTTTGTATCAAGATTGGACTTCCTTAGGTGTTTTAAGAAAATTCCTCAAATGATTTCATTCGATTTCTTTGTTGTAAATGTATTGAACTATGAATAAATTCCTTTTCATTGCTTCGATTACGATAACATATACGTTAATGGGTAAAATCAATTACACCGCGCTAATGTGTGGTTCAAAAATTAGCTAGTATTAACAAAATACATAAATTATTACAACGCATTTTTTGGAATGCTAAATTATGTAGTTGTGCTACTTGTTGCCTACTCACTTTAATCAGTGTACATGATTGAAAAGAAGAAATAGTTGAAAGAAATAATGAGACAATTTCTTGAGCTTCTGACGGCACTTGAGAGAAACATAAATCCGATGTCAGGCACTCACAATCCGTATAAACTTGGAGGTTAGTGATACCAAGTTGTACTACCTCTTTTAAGGCCAAGAGGCACGTAAGTGCCTCTGATTGGAAGGGGGAAAGCACATTTAGATCTACAACCTTAAGTTGCATCACCATCTCATGTGGAGAGATGATTTTCCATGCTCTCGCCGCTTTTCTGGACAAGTGGCTGAAGGATCCATAAAAAATGATCAAGGATTTTGAGGGATCTCGAGTCTATTGGGGTTGGAATGCCAATAATGAGGAACGACATCGTTGTTGACTCTGTTGATGATGATTCAATTCCGTCTGAATAAACTGCTAAGAGGTAGCAGGATCGTGGCTCTAGCTCCTCCAGATTTTGTCATTGTGCTCCGACCAGATCCTCCAAATAATAATCAAGAACATATCCATATCTTCTTGAGGTGGGTGTGTTTGTATCCAGACAATGAGCCATTGGAGCAGCGAATCATAATCCGACTGGAAGATGGAGGCAAAATTTGGATAAGCTAGTGCCCAAATTGGTTGGGATGTTTCACACTGGAAAAATATGTGTAAGCAATCCTACTCTTGTTTACCACACCTAGGACATAAAACTTCCAGTTGCACCCCTCTCTTGTGTAGTTCAACCCTTGAGGATAATGCATTGAGCAACACTCTCCAAAAGAGAAATTTTAGTTTTGGCTACTTTAGAGTTCCATAGTCGTTTCCAGGCCAGCTTCTCAGCATTCAATAAAACTGGATTAGGAGCAGGTTGTGGCAGAAGGGCATTGATCGCCAAATGATATCCTAACTTGACCGTGTAATTTCCATGCTCTGTAAGATCCCACTGAACTTTATCTTTATGAGACAAACTTGCCGGGTGCAAGAAAATTCCTGTAATACAAGAGATAATGTGATTCGGGAAGAAATTTTTAAGAGCCCGAATTTTCCACTGACCATTTGGATGAATAAACCGATCAACTGTCAAGTTGGAAGCCGCTAACATAGAATGACTATTAATTGGGTTAGCAGTACCAAGAATTCAGTTAGCTAATAGCGGGATATCCTTTCCTGAAATCACCTTCGATTTGATATGATTTTGTAGCAATTCTACTCCCCACATGATGCTTTTGAATCCCCACGACGGATTTCTGGGCTATTGCACTGGCGGAAAATGTCCATTACCACAATATTTGGCACAGAAGAGCCTTGCCAAAAGTGAATCAGGAGTTGACATGATCTTCCAAGCATGTTTGGCTAGTAGTGCTTGATTAAATTCCTTAGTCGCTTTGAGGCCTATGCGTCCACAAACTGGAGATTTTGTGATCTTCTTCCAGGCACGCCAATGAATTTTACGCTCCTGACTGTCACCTTTCCAGATAAAGTTGCTAATGATCTGGTCAGCTCTATGTAATGTCTGAGCAGGTAGCTTGAACACTCCCATTTGGTAAACCAACATTGAGGACAAAGTCGACTTATCCAGATAACTCGTCCCAAGAAAGTAAGTAATCTTGTTTTCCAAGAGGCAAAATTACTGTTAATATTGGTCATGAATTCTTTAAACAATACCGTCTTTTTTTCATTGAAGTTTAGACTCACTCCCAAGTATTAAGAGTGGAATGAACAAATTGTCTCATTGGCTGAGTGGTGTTGGCACTAAGGAGAATAGAGGATTTATGAAGGTTGATACGCTGGCACGAGAAATTGGTGTAATTTTTCACTAAACCTGCCAAAGCAAGGACAGATGATTCCTTGCATTCAATGAAGAACAAACTATCATCAACATATATAAGGTGACTTATTCTTGGAGCATGTCGACTGATTTTCACCCCAAACCTGGAAAATGGTGGATCTCCGATTTAATAGCCGAGGAAAGAACCTGCTGACATAGGATGAACAAATATGGAGACAACGGACAACCTTGTCTCAAACCTTTGTTAGGAGAGAATGTAGGCAGGGTCTCCCCATTAAATTGTAAAAAAAATATTTATATTGTCTCATTTTAGAATTTAAAATTATATTAAGTAAGAAATCGGAACTACAGTGAAAAGAAATAAATTGCAAAAAAAAAGAAAAAACAAATGAAGTTTTCCATTGTTAAATAATCAAAATAAAGGATAATCATATCTTGATAAATGCACAATATCACAATTATAAAAAAAAAAAACCACTATACCAAAAAAAAAATGTCTCATTAAAAAAACCACTAAAAAAAGAAAAAAAATCCAAAAAATCTCCCAAAAATCCCACCGTAAACCAAAGACCAATGGCCCAAGACCAAGAACCAAAAACCAAGGACCAGTAATACAAACAAGCATAACCAGAGTGTATTTCGAGAAGACCAAGACAAATACGTACAAATCAAGACCCATAACAACAAATAGAAAGACCAAACTGTTTGCACAAAATACTTTGGAGCACTAAGTAAGACCATGGTGTCTATTTAGAAAACTAAGGGAACTAAATAAATTTTCTTAAATTTCGGAAAATATATTCATGATGGATCTTGTTGGATAGGTCTAATCGAATACTATCAAAATGATATAAGACACTTGATATAATTCATTACAGATCAAGAAATAAAATTATTTGAAAATAAAAGAAATTTTTAAAACTCACTTAACAAAAATAATAATTAAAAAACCACAACCTGCGTGCGCGTGAACAGGTTTCACGCGACTCAATGGCAGCGTGAAGCGTGCAATAATTTGCGAGTATATATAGACTCCAAATTACGTATGCATGGATGGCATGGAAGAGGAAGTTTGCTTTGCTGGGGTCCAGCTTCTAATTGCATGGAAGAAGTTTTAGACTATGTTTGGATCGTTTTTTCAGTGTGTGTTTTTAGATATTTTTTGTATTGTGAATATAAAAAGGTGTATTGGAAATGTAAAAAAGTATGCTAGGATGGGATATTTATTATTTAATTATTTTGAAAAAACCATAAATAAAAACCTTCCACGAATTAATCTGAATCTTGTTTTTATTCTGGAGGAAAAAAAATAATTATTCAAGTATAATTCCTAATTTATTCTTCAATGGAAATCTTTTTTTCCTAATTTATTCTCATTATTATATTCCTTAATACTTAACTATGAGAAAATCATCAATATATTCTTATATGATATACTGTATATTCTTATGTTGGATACTAATTGGAAAAAAGAAAAATGAGGGGGAAAAAGAAACACTTGCCTTGCATCATGTGGACTAAAAGATCGATGTTGCCATCAAATTTTCGTCCTGTTTGAGAGTTTTCTTCCCCCTTTGAAACGGAGCTGGGAGATGACGATGACTTGAGTCTTGGTCTTGGAAGCCAAGATGTGATAGTAATTAGAGGTCTTCAATCTTCTGATTGTGTTGAATGATAATAGACTTTTCACGAGGGAAAAATCGATTAACGTGTGGTTTGAGAAATAGGAAATTCAGGGAAGGACCGTAGGATGATGATGGTAGTTGTTACTATATTCATTTCCAAACATGTAAAAGTGTTTTTAAAATAAAATATTCAGCGTACTAATGATTAGAACTATATAAAATTATAGAGGGCCTATTTGACATGTATTAATTATCCGGACGAAGTCTCTAGATTTTGCAACATATCACACATAATAGGGATATACTTATATTTTTTTTGCTCCGGTCTTTCATAAACATTTTCCACGGAAGTTCATTTTTATGCGATAAGTTCTTGTCTTGTGCGATTCATGTATCAGAAGTTATACTTTAACATAAATGAAAGGTAAAGATATATAAGCGAAGCGATGGAAAATTGGTTTTAACATCACATTATACATATTAATATTGTATTGTTTAAGATGGACTTCCATTGAATATCTGAACAAGAGAGACCGAAGCTAGCGATATGCGTTATACTATTTTATTTGTTTTGCCATATTTCAATTTTCATCTTTTAGTACAATCTATACCTAAAAAAAATAAAATCGTCACATGGGAGTATCACTTGTTGACTCTAGGTCTCTAACTAATTGGGGCTGCCGTGGAAATTAAAGGGTAGAAATAATTTAGCGCATTGATCTTTTTCCACTCTAATTATTCTTGCCTTCTAATGATCCTTCAAGTACTTACAAATTCTCTCTCAGACATAGACTCATGTGCACGGTTTCCACAAATAGTGAGGGAATTCACATGCCTATCATGTAGGAAAATGGAATTAAAAAAGTACTGATAAAATTGCGTTAAAAATCATTAATAAATAAGTAAAAGTAGAAGACCAGAAATCATTGTGGGAAAAATGTATATTGTGCATTTCGACCAACGGGAAAGAGACGCTGTCGCGCATCATGGCCATGCATGCATGGTCAATGAGTCAATGCCTTTGTGTTCGTAAATAGTCTCAAGGAAAAGGACCGTGAGTCAAATTCTCACTCGACGAAGACATTAGAGCCTAGAGGCCAAGATTGAAAATTCAAAATCGGACTCATTTGTTGGTATAAAACAAATATTCCAATTAAAACTGGTAAGACTGAGCACAAAAGAGATGGGGGAAAAACTTTATAAATGCATAGGCACAATTATAAGATTGATTGAACAGGAACGGATGCGAATAGGATGTAAAAATAGTGAGGGAATTTTAATTAAAAAAAAAAAGGGAATCCCGTAATTCAAATAGTAATATTCATTCACAAGCACAAAAATAATGGTAGAAAATTTGATTAATACGCATATCAATTTTTATTTGTAAGATAAGACATAAATATAGTTGTATAGGGGTGAAAAAAGCTTCAAAATTTTAACACATATTAGGACTGAAACCAATCAAGTTGTTGCCGAGGTCATACGTAACACGCATCCCACTTTGTACTACGTTCCCAATGATTGACACAATCTGATTGGTAGGTTCGAAAGCCAGACAAAACGTCGAATCAGCAACCCTTTTGAAGTAGTTCCCCGGTCCCAACGCGACGGTTTGACCTCCGGAAAACTGAAGCGACATCGCCGGCCCTTGTATGTCGGAAGCAGAAGTGCCGGAGGCGAATTCATAACACGTATCATAACCCTGAAAGTTGACCTGGGAATCCGCCAAGTTTTGTGCATTTCTTTGGAACGCGTCCTGGAATGAGTTGTAAACGTCGGGGTCCAAAAAAGTCAACGTGGTGCCCGAATCAACTATCACTCCTCCGGTACCGTCACCGTTGATTTGGTAAACGGAAGGTGGGACCGGAACTTGGTCTTCTCCGACGGTGATCCCGGTGAGTTCGACGTAGTAGTAAAGGTCCTTTTTCGGGTTCCGAACTAGTTTGACGTTGACCGAGTCCCCCGGGGCCGCTGAGTTAAAATCCAGAGTAGAAGATGACCCGGAACCGGGTTCCACAAGGCAATAAGAAAAGGAAGTTGCTTTAATTTGAGAAGGGAAACTTACGGGACTGGGGCCGAGTCCAAGTATACCCGAAAACGCGGCTATTAGCCCTCCAGTTTCTCGCCCGCATCCGATTCCCACATTTCCAACCGAACCCGAACTCCCAAACGATAACGTTTCAGTCGCGAAATCCCCCGTGGAGGCCGATCTGTCTCCATATCTTACGATGAAGTTACAGTTACCGTCGGTACTGCAAATTTTTTCGCCTTGAAGTGCATCACACTGCTGGGAGGAACAAGATAAAGGTTGATAAGTAGAGGACTGAGACGGGTCAAAAACCAAGCCCGAATTCGGGTCGCAGTCCTTGCATGGGTAGCACTGGAGCCAAGTGACCTCGCTGCCCGTATCGGCTAACAAGTCGAATTCACTCACGGGTTGGCCAAACCCGAGTTTGGCAAGGTACCCGCCACCCAAGCTGGAGAGGGAAGTCTCAATTTCTTCCTCCCCAGTGAAGAAGTTGCTCGGGTCGGTGTAGTTGTGGAGTAAGGCTTTTCGGATCCTGGAGTTGATGTATTCGACCCGGGCTTTGTCCCTCGCTAACGAGGAGATTGCTAGGCTCGTGTAGTTGATCTTCTTCTGGTGGTCGTGCGGGTGAAGGGGTAGCGAGAAAACCGGATTTTTAGAGTGTTTGTTTTGGTGGCGAATGGCGTGAACTATCGGATGGTGGAACACTGTGGAGAGAAGGATATTGGCGATGATGAATATGTTTAAAAGATGAAATGGTTCTGTTTGAACGACTCGACCCATGTTTTCGACTTCTCGAGACTCTTCTTTTTTGAAATGGAGAGGGAGTAATACTTCCTATATTGATTTGTTGATGAGAAATGAAGAAGAAATGGATGAGTATTTATAGAGAGACCAAAACTGCGTGTATGAGAAATTCAGGGAGTCTAGTAGTTACCTTGTTGACTCTCTTGTTCTGCATGTTTCATAATCATAGAAGTACGGTCATGACATTCCAAATAATTCACACAAACTCTCTAGATAAACAAGCGTCTAGCGACACTACTCTCTTCGTCCCATAATTATTGTGTAGTTTGGATTTTTATTTTTAGTTCAAAGTTTGGGTTTTTATTTTTAGTTCAAACTGGACAATAATTATGGGACGGATGAATTATTTTATATATGGATACATATATACATGGAGAGAGTAAATACTAGCTATCAACTTGGTGGAGTATACATCATCGTGGACGAATTTGATATGCTGCACTGATTAATATTAATTGGACAATAATTGAATTAAATTTAGTTACTTTATTTTAAAATATAATTTATATTGAGTTTTAAAATTTATATATTAAAAAATTAATTTTTTCTGAGAGTATCAAGAAAACACTTGCTTGACTCTAAATTCTGGTCTCCCTTTTCTTGCCCATTTGAGACGGGAAGAGGAGAAGACGTTAGACTTGGTCTTGGAAAAGATAGTAAATAAGGTAGCCTTACGGCGTAAACGAGACGTCAGAGACAAGAAGTTTGACTTAAAATAGGAAGTTTTAGAGAAGTGTTGATGTTATTTCTTTTTTCAGGAAATGTAAATAGTTATTCAACAAATTATTTTTTATACACAAAAATTATGCCTAAAACTTTTTAACCCACAAATTTGAATGAACTTTAATACTAAAGGAAGTAGCTAAGAGTAAATATTATTAAAATAAAATAAAATTTGACTTGTTCCTCACAATAATGACACGTCTCCTTCTACAATACATACTTATGTAGGAAAATAAAATTAAATATTTACAGAAAAACATCGTCACACGAATATAATAATTAATTAAATAAAAAATGAATTAAAAGAGTATTATTATCTTCTGTAATATTAATTAATAATAATTATTATTGCATGTGCTCGTAAATTTCATTAATCTCTTATGAGACGGAAAAAATAATTAGATGCAAAAAATTACAACATCATGAGGCCTTATTTCAGTTTTTTAAGAGAGGCCTTCCAGAACTATATCACTTCAAACCAGGGATGAGTTAAAGGTTTTCATCTTTGTGAGAGGCATCTGAGTTAGAGAATGTCTACGGTGATAGGGGGGGAATCGGGACCTCATCAAAGATGGGTTTTTTCTAAGATTTGGACGACAGATTATTCGCAGATTAGCAACTCCTTTAAAATTGAAACAGAGAAGCGAAGTAGATCTTTCTAGACCAATCTTTATCTCGCATGATTGGAGCATATTTGCAAGATCACTTTCAAATCTTTGTAATATGTAATACGCTTTACCATTCGCAAGCTAAAATCATAAAAAATCATCAATATATTCGAAAACGACAGAAAGCCAACAAACCCTTCTAATGTGGACATGGAACAAATCATAGTAACTCACAAGAGTCCCAAACTATAAACGACATCAATCCACAAAACACGAACAATTTCTTTTTTTGATAATAAACTACACAATACACATATATTAGAACTGAAATTAAAACCCAAAAACAAATAATTAGTAATCAAAGATAGAGTAATTTAACACTTTTTGGGACTGAAACCAATCAAGCTGTTGCCGAGGTCATAAGTAACACGCATCCCGCTTTGAAGTACGTTCCCAATGATTGACACAATCTGCCCCGTAGGTTGGAAAGCCAAACAAAACGTAGAATTGTCAACTTGTATGAAGTAATTTCCCGGTCCAAACGGCACAGTTTGACCGTCGGAAAATTCAAGCTTCATGGCCAGACCTTTAATGCTAGAAGCGGAAGTCCCGGACGGAAACTTATAGCAAGAATCAAGCCCTTGAACGCTGACTGGAGAACCCGGCAGGTTTTGAGCGTTCCTCTGGAAGGCGTCGATGAATGAGCTGTAAACATCAGAATCCAAATAAGTCAACGTGGTCCCCGAGTCAACGATGATTCCTCCGGTTCCGTCGCTGCCGATCTTGTAAACGGATGGCGGGATTTGAACCTGGTCTTCTCCCACGGTGATACCGGAGAGTTCGACGTAGTAATAAACGTCCGCACTCGGGTTCCGGTTTAATGCCACGTTAACCGAGTCGCGGGGGGCAACCGAGTTGAAATCCAGGGTGGAAGATGAACCGGAACCGGGTTCAACCAGGCAGTAAGAGAACGAGGTTGCTTTGATTTGTGAAGGGAAGCTAATCGGACTCGGGCCGAGTCCAAGTATCCCCGTGAACCCTCCATCAGCGACATTGCCTCCGTTTTCACGCCCGCATCCGATACCCACATTACGAACCGTACCGGATCTTCCGAACGACAATGTTTCAGTAATGAAATCGCCTCTCGAAAAGGACTGGTCTCCGTAAGAGACAGCGTAGCTACAACCGCCGTCACTGGAAGTGCCGCACTTGTTTGCTTCTTGTAATGCATCGCACTTCTGGGAAGAACAGGATAAAGGCTGATACGAAGAGGAGCGAGACGGGTCGAATACGGATCCTTCACAACCCGACGTGCACGGGGCGCACTGGAGCCAAGTGACCTCACTGCCCGTATCGGCTAACAGGTTGAATTCAGTTGCGGGTTGACCCACACCGAGACTGGCGATATAGGCCCCGCCCTGGTTGGCAATCGGAGTCTGGATCTCTTCGGATCCAAACCTCGGGTCAGAGGACTTGAACAGAGCCTTTCTCAGCCTGGAGTTTATGTAATTGACTCGGGCTTTGTCGCCTTCCAACCTGGAAAATCCCTGGATAGCAGTGTGATTCAGTTTAGAATCGGGATGGTGAAGGGATAAAGAGAAAACCCAAGTTTTCGAGCCATGGCGAATGGCGAAAACTACTGAAGAATGGAGTAGTATTGTGGAGAGAAGGAAGGCGAAGGAGAATATGAGAATCGGTGTTTGAAATCGAGCCATTGTTTGAGAACTGGCAAAAGGGATTCAGGATTCTGACTTGGAAATTGGTTGATGAAAAATGAAGGAGGATCGGATCGAGTATTTATACTATAGTACGTGTGCATGAATGCGGGGCCCGAGAGAAAAGGAAGAAAGAATCCGATTGGTTGAATCTGGCCAATTACGACAAACTCTCACCATTGGATTAATTTGGTAAGCGAGAAATTCTTTGATTGCCTTGTCATATGTATCTTCACACATAGTAGTAAGTACATTTGGTATAGAATCTCCGTGAATAATGTATCTCTAAATTAATTGTGTTTTACTGTGTTCACATTTGAAAAGATACATAATCCCTCCGTACTTTTTTTGCGTCATAACTCTATGATCAATCGACACATACATTTTTTTAAATTTTTTTTTTTCTTTTTTTGGTACTACATACAGCAGTAGTATAGATGGAGTATGAAACTACGGCATTCACTTATCCGAGTAAAGTAGTGATAATAGACCTTAAAAATTTTATTAGATTAGATTAGATTGTAATTTAGATAGATAATTATGTACATTTTGTCATCGTAGTGGTTGGAGCTTTAATGATGAACTTTTGGTTAATTAACGAGTATTTGTCACCATCAATTCTGTTATGGTGATGATAATGATCCTAGGAATAGACCAGCAAAAAAGTCTGGTTGTTCACATAATGTTGCAACAAATTTATCCATTGGAATCTTCACAAGAAACAAGTTTTTTTTTTTTTTTTTTTTGCATTTTGGAATTACTACTACATTATTGTGTCGCCGATTTTAACATAGAAATTCGGTCTTATTGGGGGGGTCATGGTTTCACATATGTTGCTTATATGGTCACTCAATCGATGATGTATTGAACCACTCAATTATATTTGTCGCCGTTTTTTTTTTTTTTATATCTGGAAATTCCAATCATCAAGGTCTTTGTGTTCAGATATACACTGTTTGCTTGATCCAGATTCCTTATCATCCATTTATCTCTTCTTTTTTTAGGATTCTTCTCGTTCAATCGATATTCAGGGATTCCTTGTATTGGTACGGTTAAGTGTGTGGATCAGTTCAAAACTCGCAAGCTAAAACATCGTACATTATTGATGATGAATGTGATATAGAAAATCCCATAAGTTTAGCATTCCTGATCTAAGCAGTGAATTCTGAAATTCATTTCACACGTCAATGAATGCTAGAATCAACGAATGGTAGGTAATTTCTCATTTTTTCTCAATTAATTGTAAATATTGTCAGACATCCCCCAACTTTTGTCACACATAAATTCATTAAATTAATATATGAATATGAATCCTCTTCCGCGAAAGTTTTGTGAATTTTTAAGAAAGAAAATTTTATATAATTACTGCCAAACATGTATAGGGAAAATAAACGAAATGATTATGGTAACTTGTTACATGTGAAATGTAGTGTGTGGTCGTTAAAGTTCTTTCCTGTTTGACCTTGTTTCCCTCCTTAAAAGCAGCATTATTCATATTGTTCTTGCCCCTTTGACAGAGAGGACTTAAGTCTTTGAGAAAGCAGTATAGATGGGAAAAACTAGTGGTTATGCTCAATCGATGATAAGAAACTTTCTACGAGAAATCAATCAGTTTGTGTGATTTGTGATGAAAAAGCGGAGCCTACACAAGAAATCACGCATAATATATACTAGATATTTGGCCGAGGCAGATGCCCGGACGCCCCTTCTAAATTACTATTTTATTAAAATCTAATTAAATTACTATTTTTTGAGAAATTAATTTGGCGTATATATTATTTATGTTATGGTTTGAGACTTAAAAAAAATATACCTATAAATCTGAGGTTATAAAGGATAATAAATAATTAGTTTATAAGGCATTATTCTTAATTACTGGATTTAGGTTTTTTTATTTTTTTTGTTTATATTAAGCCTGCAAAACTGTACGATTGGACATTTGAATTTGAATTAATATATCCATTCGTTTGAATGTAACTGATTCTTATTTGTAGAATTTTTTCATTGGACTCGGGTCACATCTAAAACATGTGTTTTTTTATAAAAAAATTATATAGCTTCTAATTAAAAGAGACTTACACGTGACAAAAAGACTCCTAAAATCTGAAATATGGTGCATTGGAGCCAAAATAGATGCATACGTAGTTGCCACATAAGCTTCATGTCTTCTGCTTTAATAGGGTATATATATATATATATATATATATATATATAATAAAAGGGATAAGTCTCGAAGGTGATGAAATTTCGAGTATTAAAAATTTAAACTATTTCCTTAACTTTATAAATGTATAAACCCTAAACGAAAAGTGTGAAAAAAAAAAAAAAACACTATCATTTAATTCATATTGTTCCTTCTAAATAATTTCATATGTACACATATATATTCGATCATTTAAAAAGCAAAAGAATTTCTTTTCTGTTTTTTTCTTATTGTTTCCTAATCAACATTCGCTCATTTCCATATATCGAAATTAAATATTAGAGGCTAATTTAAAAGAGGTGGTACAACCGTAGAAGTTATTGTAAATCTTTTTTCCGTGTGTTCACATAGCATTTGGCAACAAATTGAGCAATCCAACCAATGAGGGAAAGTCGTGCACCATGAGTTTACGAGTCATTGTCAATCAATTAGGCTCCCAAACAAAACCAAATTAAAAATAAAAAATAAAAATCAAACGCTTTATGCCCCCATCAACGGCAGACAAAAATTTCCGTCAATAGACTGTTAATTAAGGCATACAGCTCCGGTCTTTAATAAACATTTTTCACGTACGGGAATTCATTCGGAGCGGTTCTTAGTTTTCTTCCAGATTGAGATATAATTAAGCAATAGCGGCAAGATCGTTCTCTCCTCAAATGGTTATGTAGTCGGTAATGTACTAATTGTCAATTTTAAACGTTAAGAATTCAATCAAGTTTTACCAATTACAACAAGTCACAATTTTCTTTTGTATAAATGGATATCAAAACGGAATCCAACAATTATTGAGATTTTTAACGGCTCTAGAGAAACGGCATAGCATCACGGCATGGTATGAAATTGGATTAATGAGTTGATTCAATATCATGCAGTATGATTGTTATATCTACAAGTTGAGAGATGAATTTGTTTTCCAAATTTTTGAAAAAAGGCTGTCTCAAATCTTAATTTTTTTTGGGTTAGTCGGTTAGAAAATTCGATAGCTCATGAAATTGCTGATTATGTAAAGTCTTGTAAAGTGAGGGACACACTTTGGTCGTCACCTCCGGTTTGGTTATCATTTAGTGCTAGCTGATTTCAGCTCTTTTATAAAGTCGTTTCTTTTTTTTTAAAAAAAAAAAAGAAAATAACTCTCACTTAGCTAAATTTGTTATTCGATTTTAATATGAATGGAAATGTTATTACACTGTTGTCAAAGAAAACCAAGGAGGGGAAAAAAAAGAAAGAAAAACAAAAAGAGAGAGAGGCTATGAGTCATGTTGGGCCAATCTTCAGCCCAATTCACTCCCCAAATTTCAATATGTATTTTATATTTAGAAAATTCTTTTTCAATCATTGTATGTTGTAATCCTATCTCGTGAATCCTTATAACATTAAAATAGTCATCAACAAGATGCTAAGTAGCAATTAATGTGTGAAATTTCAGTATCATCTTGTGTTACATCCAAAAGAGAAAAGTTATGATTATTTTTTCTTGCAATGCTTGATTTTCATATGTGGTTATAAGACGACTTGGTGGGAGTTCTCATTCACAAAATGTAATAGTTTAGTTTTTTAAGTTTTGGTTTCCTTCATTGTGAAACACTAAAAATAAAAATTGAATATTTCAAATTTTTAAACATAAAAACGGAAATCAAAACTCTTCTTTTTTACAGGGACAAAGAAACTAATAATACTCTTTGTATTCCAAAAAAATAATAATTTTCTTTATTGTATTGTTTTTAGTTCAATAAATTATTGAATTATGTTTTGGCAATGGATATAGTACGTGCCAAATAATTTTAGGACGGAGGGAGTAAATTAGTATATCTAAAATCTTAATTGTCAGGGCAAAAAGAAAGAATACCGAGTACTGTAATCTCCCCCGAATGTTTCTTCCCTCTAATCGGCAAGGAGAATGAGAAGTGAATGCATAAATTAGGGTATACACTTTTTCTTCCAAGATTAATCAATCCCACATATGCTGAGAACGTCTCTGTTCGTTGAAGAGACAGTGAACAATCGCCGGGAAATCATCTTAATACCGCAAAACAACAACAGAAAGGAGGTTCAGTAATCGGAAAGTAACCAAAATTCGTATCACTTGACTAAAAAGAATTACTCCCTCCGTCCCATAATTATTGTCCACTTTGCTCAAAAAATTTTGTCCCAAAATTATTGTCCAATTTGACTTTTTAAGAATCAAGTTACACATTTGTCCTTAGTAAAAAATATTATCCATAAAATCTTAGTGGTTAAACAATTACTTATGTAGGGGTATATCCGGTTGTTTAAGGTAAAATATAGTTAAGTTTGACCAAAAATAAAATCTTTCATTTTAGTAAAATTGGACAATAATTATGGAACGGAGGGAGTATCTTATTTTATCAAATCACATTAGGAATTAGGTGTACTGAAATCCTAATTGATCGTGTACGTATTGCCTCGCTGAAACTAAATGTAACCTAACCTTAATTTATTACTATTCGAATTGAAGGGTTATGCAGAAAAATAAAGGGAAAAACATTTTGAGCTCTCTCAAATTTGTAGAGTAAAAATTTGTGTAACTTGATCAACATGTAACTTGGTCAACATGATTTGCATGTAGGGTTTCTTTTTTCCATTACAAATTCAGTGCCTTTTGTAGCTGTGGGTTCGGCCTCCCTTCTAACCTAAAAATTTAACCCGCTCCCAGTGGACAGGAAGGAGTATGTGAAATTGTATAACAGCAGCAGTGGTAATTGTTAATACTTTCTTTCTACCAAAATAATTATCATGTATCTTCATTTTTAATAAAATCTAAAATTAAACAATCATTTCGAAACATAAAAAATTGTATTTCTATTTCTGTTCTAAA